AGACCTTCATCGCTGGATATAAGCTAATTTTGCTGTCTTCCTAAGTAGCTTGATGAGGACCCTTGCCTGCGGGATCAACATACTAGTAGAACTGACAGATCCCCGACTCCCACGGTAGTTGGGAGGAGGGTTCTGTCGGGAAGAAATGGTCGCTCCACCATACAACTCGCTCTCGCCGTGAGAACCTCATGTAAGCAACGTCCCGACCGGACCGACGCCACTTTCGTTTCGAACTTGAAGACAACTGCCCACACACACCTGACGTGAAAGGTCAAAGTGATGCAGTGCATAGCATTCGATAAAAGGATGCATTGCCACAAGTGAGGCTGACAAATGAGACTAGTATCTCTGAGTGGGGACTGGGAGGAAGCCCCTTTAAATACTGATGTAGATATAAGACAGGACTATATCAATACTGTGTATGTGTCCATACGCGTCAAGACTGGCATTCCGCAACTTGACCAGACACTAGTACTGGAATACTTGATGGTTTCTGACTGGAGTCGGGGATTGGCGCTTGCGCCGCTACGATGGGATATGTAACAGATCATGTTGCACATCCATCCCTCAGCGTTGCAGATGGAAGAAGCGTCAACAGCGATATCGTCTGCATTGTTACAGTTCGCGCACAACGTCTCTCCACTGGGGCCTGTCGGTGCTAGACGTGGTTATTTATGGTTTTTGTACTGAGCGATGCCTACCTTTGCTACCTTCCATCGCGATTAGTAGTGATTATACCAAGATTATACTGTACCGATACGCAATGGCTTACGTAATTTATTGTGGGAATGTGGCAGGTCAAGCAACGTCTCCGTCGGGACAAGGGACACATGCAACGCAACCTGCAGTTGCGCGTGCTAAGGTAAGGGTAATGCAGTGTTGATACACTCCTCAGATAGAGCTGAGGCTCAAATCGCTGAGAGAAGACTCAGAAGAAGCTTTAAGAGGGTTTTCACAGCACCTGCGAACAAATTCCTTCTTTTTTTTACCATTTAGCGCGGATTAGGCTCCGGGGGCACCAAGCAACGAGGTGTCCGGGACACGGGACAAATATCAAAATAGGCAACGGCGACGGACCTCTCGGGACACGGGACGTTGCCTAAGGTCGTATCGGTACAGTATTTATATGCACAGTGGTGAGATCCACCACATCTACGATCACACTCACATAGAGGAGCTCAATCCAAACCTTTCATAGGTAGAATGCACACAAACTTGCGCGAGCCTTCTCCAATTGCTCTACAACGCCACAATCTCTTACGAAGGTGACATCGTGTCGCCGGGCTCCTTTGACATCGTAGAACAATCCGTCCGCGAATCAACGAAAATCGCCACCATAGAACGGCAACGAGCGGCGGGTGCGAGTCGTCTCATCCAGATGGCACGGACAGCAGGGACTCGGAGTCAGAGCGGGAACCGTACTCCCGTCACCCAGAGAAGAGCGCAGCTCGCGAGGGTGGTGTGTCTTCAAACCGCCCTGGCTGGCTGCGCTCTTCCCTTCCGGTGGATACATACGCACGTCGTGCAAGCTAATCCGGCGAGCTCTTGTCTGCGGGGAAAGGTATAACAATGCTATGCCTCTGGGAACCCGAGTGATGACCGGTTGGAGAAGGGAAGTTGAACGAGAACAACCTACTAGTATCCAGTAAATAGAGAGTATCTGCAGGAGGCGAAGTCAACTTTAGCTACCTGATCTGACACGAGATCTTAGGCGAAGTGAAAACAGCACTGGTGCGCGTCGGAGCCATTCGCGGAAAAAGCTGGAGATGCATTGGAAACTTTGACACAGCATATTACCCTATATGTAGGGTATACACCCAATGCGAACGGTAGGTGGTGCTGAATATCATATTTTTGGTGTTTGTGGTGCATTCGCATTATCCGAAGTGGGCTGTCTGCTAAGCGGAAAAAGTGTCCACTTCGCCTCCTGCAAATACTCTCTAATAAAGCATAGGCTAAACTCGGTAATGAATATCAAACTTTGTCGCGAGTTCTATTTATGGGTTCCGACATAGATGAAAGGTTCAGCTTCAGGTGTGATGCCGATACGTACCCGAAAAGCTGCGTATATTTGGCACGGGCAGACATCTCGGGCGGAAATGCGATGTCAGTTTCTTATGCAAGGTACTCTATGTAGAGACTCCCACTCAACTCTGCCACAAGGGGCCACTCACATAATTGCCGCAGGCAGACGACAGAGAAGACTGAGAGAAGAACACATCGCTAGTGCCCAACTTACCACGCACAGCAAAGGCTCTAGAAGACCGCCGCAATCTGCGTGACTTGAAGTCGGGCTGCAGGCACAGCCAAAAGGGCTGAAGACAGACAGTGCTCATCCGGCAGAACGGTGAGTCGTGAGGTTTATATCCCGGACCATACAGCTGCTTGCGATGCTCGTTGCCCGCAGAGGACTGAGCGGAACGGTAAATGTGGAAAAAAATCCATTTTATGTTCGGAGAGCGATATAATTACAAGGATTGGGTCGTGCGTATGGAAGAAGCAGTAGTAACTATCTTTACAGTCGAAGCAGCATCAGGGATTTTTTGAACTGTTGTACAAAGGGCGACGCGGCTCTGTTGAATGTGTGCTCCGCCGTTATTCAGCAACTAGAAGGGGATAAATTAGTTAAATAGCCGCGTGGGTGGGCTAACAAAACTTACGGGCAGCTAGAACGATCGAGAAATAGGAATTGATAAAGTTAGCGGAAGCTAGGCGCATTGTGCATGATCACTCACGGTTCGCAGTAACTGCAACAACGAATTATCAGTACGCAGAAACAAGAAAATCATACCATAGGACTGACCTGGAGTAGGGAGGGCAGCAGTTGCCGGAACCGCTCCCATCGCACTGGTTCTCTCCTCTAAAATCCACGCTCGGGTTAGCGACAGATAGCACACATCAGTCTGGACAGTACTGACGCTTCATCCGGGCAGCACTGGCTGTTCACTCCTATGGCAAGGACGGCTACGGCAAAGGCGGCAGTTAAAATACGGGCGGTGAACATCTTCGATGAGCTTGTTTGAGTATGAGTAGTAGTGGAGGATATCTTTTCACTGACAACTTCAAGTGCTGGATGGTCGCCCTTTTATACCTAGGCAATGGATGCTAAGTAAAGAAAGGGGGTGGTGCACAGGAACAGCATCGACGACACGTGAGATCACTTCGTGCCGACAAGGGCGCAGGACCACGATATGAATTAGACCGCACCATTCAGAACGGATGCAAAGGCGACACGATCGACCGCGCCCACCGAGTCCTGTACTCCACGGGTCAATGATAGGTCGAAATCAATATCTAGAGATGCCCAAACGCGGCGGCCCCGTGAGCAAATAATTCTAGTGGGTAGACTGACCTTTTTGCTGACCGGGGTCTGAAGGAGACAATGAAGTATCTTGTTCCGAGTGGATGCTGGGATGTAATAGGCTTGCATGCAACACTTCATACCGAGCGGAGAAGTGGCCTGTGATCCAGAGCCCAGAGTAGGGGTAGGAATCCGAAATATAAGAAGCACAAGATACACCAACCCCCGTGAGATACGGCATTGCACCGTCTGGGTACATCCGCTCGAACGTACCCTATACCTCCGGACATACCTCCTGCGGTTCCATAAATTAGCATTTCATGTCAGTGGCTTAATTGAATGATTGCATGGCTTTCTCCGTGGTGACGAAACCATTCACAATATTACGAACCTCATCCGCTCAGAAAGAGCCCCGCCGCTGTGTGGTGCTTGAAAGGAGACAGACGCCAGCCCAAAGTCCCCGTTGAGACAACTGCGGTGTCTTCGACTGCCCGTGTAGAGTCAAATAAGAGACCCTACTGAATAGTCCCAGACTCCCAGAAAACACAGCGTTTCACCACTTACAATCAAGACGCAATCCAAGGCCTGCCGAAGACTGTTGAGAGCGGCAGAACACCACATACGTAGGGTGCGGATCTAACTATGTGCCCTGACCTGAGCCGCATTGAAGTCTATGCGCTGATGACGAGGATACGACATGCGAACAGCGAGGAGGCGAGGAGGCTACTCCCCGCTGGCGTCGGGTTAACTCTGCGTGCTCTTCCATTCAAGATACGACAGCGACCCCTAAAATGTATGGGACATGAGGTTTATCTGTTGCGCAAAGGAGAGTTTTCAGGGCCAGTCGAAATCAAGAGGCGTGAAGTGGACCCGGACCTGCAGAGTTCCTCGATTCTAGTTCCTCAATTCTATCCTGTCTCGACTGATCCTCCGCGATGCCCGCGTCTACAAAACATTATGGTTCACGATGACGCGAAGGCGGGGTGCCAACGACGTCCGAGATCTGGGATGGGTAATGTGGAGGGAGTACGCCAACAGCAGACAAGATCTATACTGGTAAGTGGCCACCGGCGGCAACGGCCTCGGCAGTAACAGGTGGCCGAGGTACCGGCGGCCCGGCATCTCGGTCGCTTCCTAACCTGCATTTGAACATTTCCCGGTTGCGAGAACACTTTCCTAGCTATATAGAGTGGTCCTTGGTGGACTATGACTTGGACATCAGGAACGTCCTTTGAATGAAAAAAGGCCTGCGGGACATTTACCATGGTCTCCACAACTTACTTGTCATGCTCCATTGAGGACACTCAAGTAAAGTGTTCTCCCATGAGAGACCATGTCCGGTAGCGGGACATCGATTTTTGCTCGCGGTGCTATGCATAAGCACTCGTGGACACGAGCAAGACGGATCAAGCAAACATACTTGTACCCCGGAATGCGGGACGACCACAGCTTCACCTGTAAGTAGACAATGTTCTAGGGTTGCTAGCTGAACGTTCTTATAGCATAAACACTACCACCCGGGCAGGCAATTCGCTGAAAGTGCTTTCTTGTTACGACCCTCTCGCCAAAGGTCCCACTAGGCATTTGAACGAACTGACAGCGCGATCAGACCGTCTACGTCGTGGCTGGAAGACCCTAGCGCAGAGCCAGGCCAAACAAAAAGGCAGTACCCATGGCAGACTCTGCTGTAACGAAGACAGTCCGGACAAGAGATCTCGGTTTCCTCCCGATTCCGCGGCACTGCCGGCACCGGCCAAACGAGCCTTTCGAGCTCAAATTATGGCAGACAGGCGTCTTCGCCTTGGCCAGCACATTCAGTATGCCCTCTAATTATCTCGACCTGCGGAAGAGCTCTGACCTACTCGACAGCCTGTTAGCATCTCACCCCAGTATCGTCAGCACGTGAAGCTGAAATTGTTGGTCATCCAGGCATGAACCTATACTACGTCCAGCCCATCCTAGGTTTGTCGCGGTATTAGACGGGCGCCCATCACCGGAATACTCACCCGCGCACACAGTCGAACTCTCTAACGAGTTTAATGTATCCTTCGTCCAAGTCTCCCGCATACCCTCGCTCCTTCAGGCCGGGTACGACGCCCCTCCTCCTCCTTCTTCCCGCTGTTTGACTGAGCACCTTTCACAGCTACGCGATCGGCCTCGTCTTCCTCTCCCCCCTCGGCGACCTCATCCATCGCCGCCAGTTCATCTTCCTTCTCATGACGGCGTCCGCGGGACTCACCATCGGGCTAGCGATCACAAAGTCGCTCGTCGCGTTCGAAGCGCTCTCGTTCTTCGTTGCGGTGGTGTCCATCACGCCCCAAGTACGTTTGTGCACCATATCTGTGCTTTGTAAGTCAAAATGACCTGACGTGACACGCTTGGAAGGTCCTCATCCCGCTCACCGCCGAGCTTGCACCGGCGCACCGGCGCGCGTCGTCGATCGCGGTCGTCATGAGCGGCCTGCTCATGGGTGTCATGCTCGCGCGTGTCTTGTCGGGCATCATCGCGCAATTCTCCAGCTACCACAACATATACTGGATGGGCGTCGGCGGTGCGTCCCCCTGTCCCTGCTTTCCCCACTCGGTTTTCTCCCTTCTCCCTGTCGCTGATATACCCACTCATGCAGGCCAATTCCTCCTCCTCCTGACAATGTACCTCGTCTGCCCGGACACACCGCCGAAGAATCCCGACCTGACGTACCTCCGCATCCTGGGCACGATGGCGCGCTTCGCGGCGACCGAGCCGCTGCTCATCCAGACGGGGCTCATCCTCTTCGCCGACAGCGCCATCTACGCTGGGTTCTGGGTCACCATGACCTTCCTGCTCAGCGGCGCGCCGTACCAGTACTCCACGTGCGTCCTCCCCTTTCCTCGCCCGTCTCGCACCGCTGCTGACTGGCGTATAGATTAGACATTGGGTTGTTTGGCCTGCTGGGCATCTTCGGGATCATGAGCGCGCCGTTCGTCGGGCGCCTCATCGACGGGCTCATCCCCTGGGCGGCGGGGCTGCTCTTCATCGGGCTGATACTCGTCGCGATGGCGATACAGACCGCCGCGGGAGGGATCAGTATTGGCGCGGTGGCTGTGGCGATTTTCGGTGCGTGTTTCTTGGAGTTGAGTTTCTGTTTCTGCGTGTGCCAGTGGCAGGGTTGTTGATGACTTCGTGATTAGTGCTGGATGTGGGCGTGCAGGGGCTGCAGGTGGCGCTGACTACGAATGTGTTCAGGTGAGTGCGAGGATGCTGGGTGTGGGGTCCTGTCGCTGAGAATGTGTAGTATAAACCCCAGTGCGCGGGCGCGGCTTAATGCTTTTGTTATCCTCTGCGTACGTCCCTCCCTTTCCCATCTTCCCTCCGTATGGCACCCGCTCACCGTTCCTATTTCTCTTTTAGATCTTCCTCGTAAGCGGCACTCCAACCTTCCCCTGCCCTGATTGTAGTCTGACGCTCGGAAACAGGGCCAAGTGATGGGCACATCCGTCTCGACGCGGCTCTTTGTCAAGGGTGGGTACCGTGCCGTCGGGTACTTCGCGCTCGGGCTCGCGGGGCTGGATTTGGTGCTCCTCTTGCTCCGCGGGCCGCGGTTGCCCCATCACCGGTGGCTCGGGTGGACTGGGGGATTGGGGCTCAGGAAGGAGAAGGCGGTGGACAAGATGGTAGCGGAGGGGAAGGAGGCGGTGGGAGCTGGGGGTGCGGATGTGGAGAAGGGTATGTAAGCCGTGGTTTAGGTGATGGTACAGAGGAACTAATCTAGTGCGGTATAATTGCCTAATGCATGTATTGATCTTGGATTACGATATAGGGAGTGATCGCTCTTTTTGTAAACGCAGAGCCATGGGGTACCGCACATCGGACACCGTCCCTTTGCTTGGATGTTTTGATGACAAACGTATGTCGGAAATCATGCGACTTATCACGATCCATTTCAGACACCATACAACTGTCTTGGCCAATACGACTCCTCGAAAAAGCAGTCCCACGGCTAGAGGTTGGAACTGGGAATGATTCAGAATGGGCGCAGATAGTGTGCTTAAGCTCGCGCGCCGTAGCACAAGACCCTCCGGATTACTTATTGTACAAAATGTGTGCTGCTCATCGGCTTGCCACAAGGACAGGTTCCCCCCCTCCCACCCAGATAGAAGAATGTTTTTGTTGAGCAGAAGCGTTCAACCCATGATCAATTTTGAACCTTTTGACTTCGGATTCGGATCTGGATGTCCCACACTCACGTGACTTCATCGCGTCCTTTTGTCCGAAACCGGTTGCCTTGAAGTTGAAGCTCGAGGTTGAATCGTACTGATCTGCCATGGCCGCTGTCTGTATTTCGTTTGAAGGAGAAGCCTCATGAAGACCGAAGCGATTGGAACTGACAGGTTGTGACAAACAACCGAAGAGTGGTGGGGTGACAGCGATGCGTTGAGATTCGCCGTAGCTCGCGTTCACTCGTCTACCTTGTACAGAAATCAGATACGCATGAAAAGGCCGTCCTGAGTTTGCTCGCACGAAGGAGGCTCTCGAGGAACTCCGCCCGGAGGCAGACCTGTATGAGAACCAACTGTCTTGCCTTTAGGGGACTCCCGGTCTTCTATGGGTTCTACGAGACGTTGTACAAAGATAACACGCAAGATAACACGCTAGGCTGCCTGATTCTGCAGGACTACGGGTAACCTCCAGACGTCATTTTCCCATGCTTACCTATGATTGCCAGGTTACATAGTCTGCCGAGCAGTATCACTAAAGCAATATCTAACCAATCCTGCGGAATCTACAAGAAATACACCGCTGCGGTATTATACACGAAGACTTTCGCGATGTACTTCTTCGCGGACGGGATGCTCGTATCATTGACTTCGGCTGAGTGTCCCCACACAGGGGAGGTTGCACGCTGGAAATACAAAGGCCGACCACTAGGGTCACAGCGTGACACATCACGTGCTTCGGTTTCGCCTGTCGTGCGCAGGCCCCCTGAAAATACCCATAGTGGTCTGATACCGGTTTTGGTAAAAATCACCCTCAAATGGGTGCCAGGTCTGATACAGTTTTGGTAAAGGACCTGCTGGTGGGAGTTATCTTGGATACCATTTTTATGGCAGAAACAGCCATCCAGAGCAAAGGTTGGATACTATTTGGGTAACAATTATGGCCACAACAGTGCCATAACTTGCCACAATGATCAGGTGGGAGATTCTTGGATTCTGTATACACCAGTGCACCTTGGAGAGGTTCATAAAGCCCATACATAACTAACTCTGGTATCACCGCACGCGCCGGAACTTTTTTTCTGAGGAAGGAATAATATCCTCAAGCCCTCAGGTTGGATACCAATGTTTCAGTAAAAATCACATCTAAGACTTGGGGGGAGTGGGCCAATGCTGTGCATGGCTGGTTACGAGTCCTGAGCTGGGCATAAGATACTCCCTATTTTACACTGTATATCATAGAGCTGACACAAATATTCCTATCTTTCTTGAAGTATCATTTGAATTTCACTAGACCTCTCAGGATCATCTTGTATATTCCTTGATTTGCTATAGAGCTCTGAATATATTATGGATTTCCTGCATTTTTCACAATTTTTCTGGCCCTTCTACAGCCTGCAATCAATTCCAGATACCAATGATGTAATGGCTCTGCAGATCGGGTGAACCTGCAGAGAGCCTATGTCATAGAAGGCAGGAGCCAATCAGAGTCCAGGAATCCAAACCGACGCGGCCCGCACCTCAGCCACTGACTACAAGCCACTACAATAGTCAATTCCCACGATAAGCAATAAAAGTAAAACCGCCATGCGGACTAGGACAAGACACACAATTGCCAAATTCACCAAAATATTGTTGTAGACCCGTATAGCATACGCCCAGGACTAGAAAAAATAAAAGAGAGATAAGACAAAGAATTGAGCCCGCAAATGAGCAAACAATGGTCCCAGAGACTACAAAAATGCGCCAAAAGTCGTTTTGTAGTCTCACATACAACCGGACTTCCAAACGGAGTTTCAACAATGTAGTCTTCAATACAAAACAT